GCATTCAAAGACCCGTATGGTTGGGTCTCTTTTACCTAGTGTGAAAACCTCTATTTTTTAATAAGAATATTTCAAGCATTTAAGTGTTTGCCCTATGGAATACAACATCTTTAATTTATCAGTCTGATTTCAAATGACATACTAGTTTACATGTAGCTTTGCAATCTTATGTCAATATACTTCTGTTCCTCCCATTCTATGTGATATTTTACTTCAAACCCCACAAGGCATCTTTTATTTACTTTCTTTTTTTAAACCATTAGCGCTGTATTTCTGTGTGCAGCTTACTCTTTCTAATACTCCTTTTAGTATTTCTTACAACATGGATGTGTTGGCAGTGAATTCTCTCCACTTTTATTTGTCCGAAGAGCCTTTATTTCCTCTTCATTTATGAAACATGTTTTCTCTAGATACAAAATTCTGCGTTGACACTCATTTCTGTACATACTTGAAAGATTCACTTCATTTTCTTCTGGCTTAATGTCCCTCCTCCTGTGATTTTCAAGTGTTCTTCTGTTCTTTAATATTCTGTTTTGTTGCCTTCAAGATTTTGTTTTCATTTTGGTTTTCAGCTGTTTAGCTTTGATTTGATTTTTGAGGTTTTCTGGGTATTCCTTGCTGTTTTCTCAGTTTCCTTTTTCTTTTTTTTTTTTTAAGTTTGTTTATTTTTAGAGAAAGCACGAGTAGGGGAGGGGCAGAGAGAGAGGGAGAGAGAGAATCCAAAGCAGGCTCTGCGTGGCAGCGCAGAGCCCGATGTGGGGCTCAAACTCGCGAACTGTAAGATCATGACTTGAGCCAAAGAGTCAGATGCTCAACTGACTGAGCCCCCCAGGTGCCCCTGCTTTCTGTTTCTTAAATTTGTGGTTTGATGTATTTCATCCTTTATTTTTGGCAGGGACTACAGTTACTTATGTGTGGCTGTATTTGATTGTGTTCCATAGTCCTTCAGTGTCCTGTGTCAGGAGAATTTCATCAGTGTCTGTGCTGCATTTTCAGCCGCCCTTCCAAGCCTGTGCCACAGAGGGTTTACCTCTCTGTTCCTGTTTCTCTTGCAGCAGTTGACTGAGCTGATGCTATTTCAAAGAGAATAAAGCCAGACTCCAGCTAAAGGTGATAGATACAGATTTTATTCAATAGCTATGGGAATAGTAAGTGAGAAGGTTCAGTAAAACTTAGCTCAACTCCAAATACTGCTAAGGCAGCTAGGGACTTATAGCCAACAATCTGGGGGGATCACTGGATAGAACAGAACTAAGAGGGACATCAGGGGTAGGGGGATTCTTGCTAAATGCAGACCAGGCACATCAAGGGCAGGGAATAAGGAACTTGATCAGATATCAAGGGTGAGGGGCTTCCCACTAGACTGACTTAAAAGGACTCTTGCTAGAACCGAATTCAGCATGGATAAACATGGAAAGGCCTAGTTGAGAACAGGGCTCAGAGGAGCCTAAGTAAGGTTTAGTCAACGGGAGAGTTCTTGTCGGAGCATATCGTAAAACTTGGGTTGATCCTGAAATAAACGATAGAAGCCGTACCTTTTATTGTGTAATTTCATTGTAAAATTCTAATGGAGATACTACTAGAAAAGACAATATGATCCCCAAAAGGATGCTGGAGATGAGAGAAAGAGCAGTTAGTGATAGGAAATTAGAAAACATCCAGGTAAATCTGAACAATAATGTGTATAAAATGATGAAGATATCTAATGTGTGGGACTAAAAAAGACACTATGATCTGCAAAACAATAACTGCATATAAATGAGGTGAGAGGTGGTCAAATTGAGTTTGATACTTCTTTTATTCAGAAAAAGAGGTTCAAGATTTTGAATTACTTTAGATTTTAAGTATTTATGGTAAGATTAATGGAAAGCCACCTAAAGCTGAGAAACCAGTGTGTGTAACTTTCAAAGTTGTAAAGAAGAAAAAGTAGAAAAGATACAAAATTAGCCCCAAAAGGAAAGAAGAATCAATAGAATGGATAACTATGGCCAATATAAAGTACCAAGTAAAATGCAAGAGAGGACTTTGCAACATTTCAATAATCACCATCAAACTGACTAAATTTATCTGTTAAAAGACATCTTGTCAAATTGGATCTTCAGAATAGGGTAATACCTTCCTGTGGCTAAGATACCAGGTTTTCATTTATCCTGAGAAGTCCATGTTTCTATCTTCATCTTTTGCCCACTCAACATTCAGCGTTCTACTTGCCTGTGTGTAGGACGTCCTGGGTAGGATATCCTGATCTCTTCAGTGTGGCAAGAACTAATATTACAATTAGCATTTACAAATCATAGATTTTCCCCACTTCATTTGTTACATTCTCTGAGTCTTCTACTCTTACAACTGACCGTCATAGTATTTTATTTTTCTGCCTTCTTCCTTCCTTCCTAATGTTAGATCAGTATTGTTATTATTTTGTAAACGTTGCAAATTATTTTATATTCTCATTTTGCACTGACATCCCCCAAAACACTTAGGCATACTGTTTTACTCTTTGATGGTCTCATTCCTCAATGAAATTAGACTTTGCCCCACAAAGCATCTGATTTATCATGTTAATATCCTGAGTTATATTTTCCCTAATATGTAATATAGCAAATTTAAGTTTTCCTCATTTAATGACCCTTAAATGTGGCTACATCTCATCTGTGTGGCACAGAACTGGTGCTAAACTCCCATTTAATCCTTCTTCCTGAGTTTTACCCCCAGATATGCTTTCCTGCCCTACAGCGTCACATTTCATTTCTAATGTATTTGGTGATTTTTGTGAATTAATACATGAAGAGTACATGGAACACTACCTGGCTCACGGAAACGGTCTGTTACTGTTTCTGTTGTGAATATCATTGTCAGGAATTTTAAGTTTACACTCAGCTTTCCACACCTTTTTGTAATGTAAAACGTTCCTTCATTGCTTTGGTTTACATTATCTGCTGTAGAACCTGGTTCCTGATGGTGTATGGATTTTGAATGAAGCTATTATTTGGATTATAATTTTTTCTGAGAGCATACTTTTTTTTGTTATATAACATAGAGTAGATATTGGATCATTACTTAATTCATTAACTGTGACTCTTGAGTGAGAGAGCCGATATACATTCATTCAGAAAATACTATGAGAAATTAATTTCTAAACCCACATGTTGGGTTATAAACCTGTAGATTCTCGTCCAAAATTATAAATTTGATCAAGAACAAACTTGATCTTTGTTTTGGAAAGCACACCACTTGTTAAGGACCATTACTTTCAGAATCCACTCAGATGAATTTAGAGGAAATCAGATATAAATACTTCTGATACCATAGTTTGCGGTTGGAAAAAGAAAAAAAGACTACTGAGTATTCTAAATTTCAGCAATTAACAGGATATGTTTATGTTTCAAGGGAGTATAATCTAACGTTGTGATAGAATGAGATGTATAGAATGTGATTGATTTTAAATTTCAGTGTATGTGGGACTTGAAATTGTAGAGAAGTTTGTGAAGACATATGAATTACGAGACATGTCATTTTTCTGAAGAATGAAGTTGTGAGCAAGTCCAAAGTGGGAATGTAAGCTTGCTGAGTGAAAAGTCTTGGTTGAACTTGAACAAGTTTTGGCAAATTAATAGTCTGGCATTTCTAGAAAGAAGACATTTATTATGGACTTGTGAAGTGATTAGTTGAACAACAACTAATTATGTATATTGTTAGTAAAAAGTCCCCCCCCCCCCCCCCCCCCCCCCCCAGAATTATAACTGCAGTCTGTTTGCTGTGATGGCACTTGGAGACAATGGGCTGTGAATAGGTTTTATTTACATTGTATGTACTAAGCAAGAAGGTAACGTGAAGTATGGCTGAGAATTCTTAGGGTAAATAAATATAAATATCTTTTAGTGTTTTAGGTCAGGTCTTCAAGGTAGAGATCTGAGTGTCAAGAAAAAATTTTTACTATTATATCAGAGCATGTTTAAAAGGGGGAAAACTAGCATCTGGTGGTAGTAGAGGTTCCCTTTTGAACAAACTCTGAGACTAAGCTGAATATACCACAGCTAAAAACAGTTGATGGATTTGGTCATTTCAGCCTTTTTTCTCATCTGATTTCATATTTCCTGGTCGACATTTGTAAGTAACATGACTGGAGGGAAACTTAGAAGCTACGTTACAGGAGTCCTTTCATAAGCACAAAGAAATCGGTGTTTTGGGGATTTAATTTGGCATTGACAGTATAATAAGTTAACATGTAATAAAATAGACATAATTAAAAAAAATTTTTTTAAGTTTATTTATTTTGAGAGATAGAGAGACTGGAGGAAGGGCAGAAAGAGAGGGAGGGAGAGAGGGAATCCTAGGCAGGCTCCACGCTGTCAGCACAGAGCCTGATGTGGGGCTCGAACTCACGAACTGTGAGATCATGACTTGAGCTGAAACCAGGAGTCAGACATTTAACTGACTGAGCCACCCAGGCACCCCAAAACAGAGATAATTTTAAAAAGAAGGGGATGAAACTGGAAACATGTAAACCATAGAATTTAGGTGCACAATGTAAGGATGGGAAGAAAATTACCTAAAGTCTGATCCTTCAGAATATCAGATCATCCCTCTGGTACCTCTTTAGGGCATTCTCATCTACTTCTTTAGGGCCTCTCTAGTTCTCTGTATTTCCCATTCCTAGATCAGCCCCCTTTTTTTTCAATGACTGTTTCCTTTTCTTCACCGTGCTTTATATTTATTTCTACTGTGTATATGAAGTCTTGAAGTACGTATTTGTAAATTGCCAAATATAGTTGTGTTTGTTATAAGTTTCTACCCCCCTTTTTCCACCCTGTCAGGTTTTATTTCTTCTGATACAAAAGGATGGGGCAACACGACTATTTGGATCTGTCTTATTTCATAAAACTAAGTCAACTGTGTAAAAGGGCATTTGTTTGTAAGTGTAATTTCATCATAATTATAAGATTCGTTACTTATGATTGTTGTGGTTGTTTTGTTTTGTTTTTTTTTTCCTTCATTTCTAGAAGTCTGCAGAGTTGATAACCAACTAGAACAGAATCAAGAAATCCAGCACAGACATTTCTGGCAGTCTCCATTTATCAACAACAAAACACTGACTGTACACAGAGGTAATGTATTAGGAAACATTTTTAATTTCAGCACGGACAGCATTCCTTCCATAAAAATACCCTGTAAATGTGACTCATGTGGTATGAATTTGAAATGTATTTCAGAATTAATTATTAATAAGAAAAACTATTTAAGTAAGAAGCCTGATGACCTCAATCCATGTGGGAAATTGTTCCTTCATAGTAACCCTGAAAAAACTCAAATGGGGGAGAAACCTTGTGAATTCATTCAGAATCAAAAATATGTAAGTCGTAATGAAGATTTCATTCCATATCAGAAAATTAAAAATGTACAACAATGCTTAATTCAAAGGAATAAGGAATATGAGGAATACGGGAAAGAGTTCCATGAGAAGGCACTTGTCCCATATAACCAAACTTGTATAGGAGAGAGTCCTTGTGAACATAATGAATCTGATAAAACGTTTTGTAATAATGCAACCCTCGTGGTCTGTAAGATAGCACAAAGAATGGAAAATCTTCATGAGTTTAATGAATACAGTAAAACATTTGAGAAGTCCTCCCTCTTGAAACCTAGAGTTCATTTAAAGGTGAAGGGTTATGAGTACATTGATAGAGTGGTTAGTTTCAATAGGAGATCAGACTTCCCTGACACAGGAGATAGAGTATTTGAATATAACAACTTGGGAGAACCTTTCTGGGAGAAGTCCGTTCTTAATATAACTCCGAGAACACACATAGGAGACAAAGTCCATGAATGTAACGAATGTGGAAAAGCATTCTGCAAAAAGTCAAAACTCACCAAACACCAGAAAATACATCCAAGAGAGAAACCATATGAATGTAAGGAATGTGGGAAATGCTTCTCTCGGAAATCCCTCCTCACTTTACATCAAAGAATCCACACAGGAGAGAAACCCTACGAATGTAAGGCCTGTGGGAAATGCTTCTCTAGGAGTTCACACCTCATAATTCATCAGAGGACTCACACAGGAGAGAAGCCCTATGAATGTAAGGAATGTGGGAAGTGTTTCTACCATAAGTCCTATCTCACGGTACACCAGAGGATTCACACAGGGGAGAAGCCCTATGAATGTAACCAATGTGGAAAAACCTTCATAAGCAACTCAGTCCTCACAATACATCAGAAAACACACACAGGCGAGAAACCCTATGAGTGTAATCAGTGTGGGAAATTCTTCTCCAGAAACTCGTACCTTACGGTACATCTGAGAACTCACACAGGGGAGAAGCCCTATGAATGTGAGCTCTGTGGGAAAACCTTCTGTCACAAATCAGATGTCACGAAACATGAGAAAACTCACATAGGGGGAAAACCCTATGGATGTAATCAGTGCGGGAAAACCTTTAGTCGTAACTCGGGCCTAAAAGTTCATCAGAGAACTCACACAAAGGAGAAACCCTATGAATGTAACGAGTGTGGGAAATCCTTTTCTGAGAAATCAGTTCTCACAGTACATCAGAGGATACACACAGGCGAGAAACCTTACAAGTGTAATGAATGTGGGAAAACCTTCTACAATAAATCGGACCTCACTAAACACCACAGAACTCACACAGGTGAGAAACCCTATGAATGTAAGGAATGTGGGAAATTCTTCTCTAGGAATTCATACCTTACAGTACACCAGAGAAGTCATACAGGGGAGAAACCCTATGTGTGCAAGAAATGTGGGAAAACTTTCTACCTTAAGTCAGACTATACAGTACATAAGAGAACACACAGAGGGGAGAAATCCTATCACTGTAATCAGTGTGGGAAGACTTTCACTTGCGGTTCAGTCCTCAGATCACATCAGAGAACTCACACAGGTGAGAAGCCCTATGAATGTAACGAGTGTGGGAAATCATTTTCGGAGAAATCTGTTCTCACCGTCCATCAGAGGATACACACAGGGGAGAAACCTTATAAGTGTAACGAATGTGGGAAGTCCTTCTATCATAAGTCAGATCTCACTAAGCATCAGAGAACACACACAGGAGAGAAACCCTATGAGTGTAAGCATTGTGGGAAAACCTTCAGTTGCAACTCAGGCCTCAAAGTACATCAGAGAAGACACGTAAGAGAGAAACCCTATGAATGTATTGAGTGCGAGGTAACTGCCAAGAAATCAGTTATCACAGCACATCCAAGGTTACACACAGAGGAAGAAAACTAGTAAATATAGCGGTGAGAGGAATCTTTCTCTCGTGAGTCATACCTCAAAATACCATGGAAAATTTACAAAGGACGTGACTCAAAGAATGTAAAGAATGACAAATCTCTTACCAGAAGTCATCTTCCAGAGCAAACGAGAATACTCATAGGGGAAAACACTCTGAATTTGATGAATGTTTGAAAATCTGATGTAAATAAGACAACTAAAAATGACTGCATGTGGAAGAAAGCCTACTAATATGTGTAGGGAGTATGGGGGATTATTTTATTATGAATTAGAGCTTATTAAACCAAGAATTTACATAGGAGGTAATCCTGTCAATCAGAGATATGAAAATGTTCTTCCAGAATTTGGCCATTAGTAATCAGACCACATTTGGGAAAAACTGTCAGCATCTTACGTTTTTTTTGAGACCTTCGTCCACAAGTTGTACTCATTATTAAGTCAGAGGAGTAATAGGGGGGATACCCAAAGAATGCAGCAAATGTAGTTGAGCAACTTTATCAGAAATGCCCTTTGTTGAGCAACACAATTGATAGTGAGAGGAAGTCCTAAACGTGTTTTGAACATACAGGCTTTAACAAAATTCAGACTTTATTATATCTGAAGATTGTATTGAAGGAAGTATGTCTTTAGGAAATACGGACAGAAATTTTCTTTTAGATCTCTTATCCCTAAAGTTATGCTTTTCTCTGATCTCAAAATTCTTTAATAGAAATAAAGCTGATGGTAGACATTTATAAAAATACTAACCATGCAACGTGAAGCTTTTTGAAAAGAACAAATAAACAGAATAATCTTCTCAGTCTCTGATTTCACTTTTGGAGAAACACGTGTCACCCCATGACATTCCCTATCATGAGCCATCGTATGTTTTTGATTAGTCCGCCCCCCAACTATGCTGTTACCTCTGCAAATAATGTGTGATGGTCTGGTTCCTCCTGGGATCTACTATAGGGGTTCCCACTGTGGACTAGCCCAGCCCAGAATGTACACCGCCACCAGCCAGGGGCAGTCTGAAGGATGTGTCTGCTTCCTCTTCGTAGGTTCTGGAACCAGAAATAACATTGAGTGTATACTCTGTAGTACTCTAGTGCATATGACCTTTGTGCCCCAGTTCAAATTTACAGGAAGGGCATCTTAGCTTTGTTGCTTGAATTCAAGCCTGTTGACCCAATTATAGCCTGTCTCTCCAGGGGGGAGAAACTTGACATATTTCCTATGTGTGTCAAATTATGAGCAATAGCATAACCATTGTGTGCCTGTGTGCCTGATGCAGGTTGGAAGTAATGTACTATGAGAATAGTTGAATTCTCTGCATACCGTCCTCAAAACTGTCCCATACCCTATAACTTTTTCCACCTTCAGCACTTTTCTCGATTTACTTAATATTGATCCATGTCTCATTACTTTTACAATAATATTTTAATGTGTGTGTGTGTGTGTGTGTGTGTGTGTGTGTGTGTGTGTGATTGATTTGCTAGGGTATCGGTGGGAACACGTGTTTCCTAACTTGTTTTTGTCTTCAGATGTATGGTTTTGATATTTATACATATGCTTTAGTTGATTTGTTTTAATAAAGCATAATATATGATTATGTAACTGTAACAATAATGTCTATTTTCCTGTCTGTGATTTTCAAAATTTTACGAGTTTCATTATTAAAACAATAATGTTTCAAAATTAAAAAAAATCAACTCTGGGCAGTCATTTAAATATGGTAAATATACCCTATTTAAGTATCCAACTTGAGTTTTATTATATATATGTGTGTGTGTGTGTGTGTGTATAAATTTACATCCAAATTAGTTAGCATATAGTGCAACAATGATTTCAGGAGTAGATTCCTTAGTGCCCCTTACCCATTTAGCCCATCCCCCCTCTGACAACCCCTCCCATAACCCTCTGTTTGTTCTCCATATTTATGAGTCTCTTCTGTTTTGTCCCCCTCCCAGTGTTTATATTATTTTTGTTTCCCTTCCCTTATGTTCATCTGTTTTGTTTCAAAGTTCTCGTATGAGTGAAGTCATATGATATTTGTCTTTCTCTGACTAATTTCACTTAGCATAATACCCTCCAGTTCCATCCATGTAGTGCAATGGCAAGATTTCATTCTTTTTGATTGCCGAGTAATACTCCATTGTATATATACACACCACATCTTTATCCATTCATCCATCGATGGACATTTGGGCTCTTTCCATACTTTGACTATTGTTGATAGTGCTGCTATAGACATTGGGGTGCATATGACCCTTCGAAACAGCACACCTGTATCCCGTGGATAAATGCCTAGTAGTGCAATTGCTGGGTCACAGGGAAGTTCTATTTTTAGTTTTTTGAGGATATATATATATATATATTTTTTTTTAATTTTTTTTTGGTTTTTTGTGAGGATATATATATTTTTAAGAAAGATCTGTTTAAACATTTTTTAAAAATATTTATTTATTTTTGAAAGAGAGAGCACAAGTGGTGGAGGGGCAGAGACAGAGGCAGACACAGAATCTGAAACAGGCTCCAGGCTCCAAACCGTCAGCACAGAGCCGGACGTGGGGCTTGAACCCACGAACTGCGAGATCATGACCTGAGCTGAATTTGGACGCTTAACCAACTGAGCCACCCTGTCACCTCCTACTTGAATTTTAGTAAGAGTATACTCACACGTGTTACTTCTACAATTAAGAGAGACAACACCCTCATCACCAGGAGGGTTTCTCCTTCCCCTTCCCAGCCACTCCTGGGACTTCCTCCTCCCTCCTGGCCCCTGGCAACCAGTGATCTGCTTTCTGTCACTAGGTTAGATTGATGTTCTTAAAATCATTTCACGTAAATGGATCTATACAAGATGTCCTCTTGCTCATCTGTCTTTTATTCTGCATGATTTTGAGATGCATCCATGTTTTAGCACGTATCAGTCACACATTCGTTTTTATTGCAAAGTTGTATTTTTTTTTAAACTTTTTTTTTTTTCAACGTTTATTTATTTTTGGGACAGCGAGAGACAGAGCATGAACGGGGGAGGGGCAGAGAGAGAGGGAGACACAGAATCGGAAACAGGCTCCAGGCTCTGAGCCATCAGCCCAGAGCCCGACGCGGGGCTCGAACTCACGGACCGCAAGATCGTGACCTGGCTGAAGTCGGACGCTTAACCGACTGCGCCACCCAGGCGCCCCAAAGTTGTATTTTATTGTATGCATATATTACAGCTTCTTTATCCATTCTGTTTCCAGTTTTTGATTATTAAGAACATAGCTGCAGTGAACTTCTTGTGCATTTTAATGTAGGCGTGTTTATATTTCTCTTGGGTAAATATTGAGGAGTAAAATTTCTGGGTTTGTAGGTTAGTATATGTAATGTCTGACTTGTCTGAAGTGCTTGTTACGTTTTGCATTTCCGTCACCCTTGTGTGAGAGTCGCAGTTATTCACATTTTTGCCAGTACTTTGGTACCGTGACTTTTGACTAGCCATTTTCATGTGCCTAGTGGAATTTCCCTGTGCTTTTCATTTGCATTTCCCTAATAATGATGTTATGCATCTTTCAAGTCCTGGTCATTTGTGTATCTTATTTTGTGAAGCATCTGTTCAAATCGTTTGCCCTTTTCATAGTTAGATTGTTTGTCTTATTTGTATTGATTGTGAATATTCTCCCCCAGTGTGTGGCCTCTTAAAAAGCTTTTCATTTTGATGGGGCGCCTGGGGGCTCAGTTGGTTAAGCCTCTGATTTCGGCTCAGGTAACGAACTCACGGTTCGTGAGTTCGAGTCCCACATCGGGCTCTGTGCTGATAGCTCAGAGCCTGGAGCCTGCTTCAGATTCTGTGTCTCCCTCTTTCTGCCCCTTGCCCACTCACACTCTGTCTCTCTCTGTCTCAAAAATCAATAAGCATTAAAAAAAAATTTTTTTAAGTTTTTCATTTTGATAAAATCCAGCTTATCGGTTTTAATATTTTCTAAAAAATCTATACAGACCCAGTAGCATCAAAGATTTTCCCCCTGTTTTTTTTTCAATGTTTATTTATTTTTGGGACAGAGAGAGACAGAGCATGAACGGGGGAGGGGCAGAGAGAGAGGGAGACACAGAAACGGAAACAGGCTCCAGGCTCTGAGCCATCAGCCCAGAGCCTGACGCGGGGCTCGAACTCACGGACCGCGAGATCGTGACCTGGCTGAAGTCGGACGCTTAACCGACTGCGCCACCCAGGCGCCCCAATTCCCCCTGTTTTCTAAATGCCTTGGCTCTATGTTTAGGTGTATGATCTGTTTTGAATACATTTTTGTGTATAGTGTGTGTTAAGCGTCGAAATTTAGATTTTTCCATTTGAACATTCACTTGTTTTAGTACTATTTATTGAAAAGACTGTCTTTTCTCCATTGAATTACTTTGGTGCCTTCTTAAAAATCCCAGTTATTTGTATTTGTGTCTGTGTTTTTGGGGGTTCTACCTGTGGACGCTTTTTTTCTGTCTCACTAACCTGTTTATCTTCTCTACATTGTCTGTATTCCCGTACCTTTGTTAATAAGTCTTTAAATGAAATTGTATAAATTCTCCAACTTTGTTCTCTTGTCCAGTATTGTTTGGACCTTCTAAGTCTTTTGTGTTTCCACATACATTTCAGCATGAACTTGTCGATTTCAAAAAAAAAGAAAAGAAAGGCTGTTTTAATACTGCTTTAGGATTTTATTGACTATGTAAGTCAGTTTGGGGAAAGTTGACATCTTAATAATATTGAGTCTTCTGATCCATGAAGATGATCTCTTTCCTTCCATTTAATTAGATCTTTAATTTCTTGAAGCAGCGTTTTGTACTGCCAGAGTATGGATATTGTGTGTTTTATTAGATTTATCCCTAGGTCTGTCTCTTATAAGCAGTACTGTTTATGTACTTTCACTTTTTGGTTGTTCTTTGTTAATCAGTAGCAGCACAGTTGATCCCTGTGTATTGACCTTGTTTCCTGTAACCTTGATAAGCAAACTTCATTTTGGTGGCTTTTTGGTTAA